GCCCCACACACCTTACTCACCTGCCCCCGCTCCGTGCAACTTCTTTCTGTTTCTGTGAATGAAGAGGGACATGAAAGGACAGTGATTTGATGGCGTCGAAGAGGTAAAGGAAAAATGGAGGTCTGCCAGCCCTCCAAAATAGATGAATTTGAAAAATGTTTCCAGGAACAGAATCTCAGATTCGCGTTAAATGTAATGGGGAGTAACTTGAAGGTGATAAAGTTGTTTTGTAAAAAAATTTAAATACATCACTTTGGGGGGAAAAATTCCACTTTTGGGGGGGGTACCCCTTCATATGCTATACGAGTGTGGTGAAGACATCAGATGGTGCCGACTATCAGAAATAATAGTGCCTAGGGTCTTAGAACTTGTCTTAAATTAAGCAGCCATCTAAGTGAGGTGTCAGTTAAGTCCACACACAAGGAGCACACCAGCTTGTGTGATCCAAGGATTGTAAATAGTAAAATTCAAGACAAGAAGATGGAGTTTATTGTATTAGAACTTAAATTCTAAGCACACAGTTTTCAAAAGGGTATGGATGGCAGTGAAAGCTTAAAATCCATTGGCCGAGGACTCAGGCGGATCACCCGCCAGTAAACCTAGACCCTTCAGTCTGGCCCTTAGTGGAGCACCGTGATGTTGTTTGGTTAAAATTCACCGAATCTTCATTTCTTCCCCTTGTGACACATTTTAAAATTTGTTCTAGTTTTTAGTATCTGGTGTTTTTCTCTTGGATTGAGGTTTTGCTGTGCGTTATCTTGTTGTTGTTGTGGGAGGGTGGTGGGATTTCTCTGTGTGAAATCCAGGATAGTTAATCCATAGAGACAGCAATCAGATGAATAGTTCCTTCAAGAAGGGGAGGTTGGAGGTTTCTTTATGGTAATGGACACAAGAATGAAGAAAACGTTCTAGAATAGATTGTAGCAATGATTATACAACTCTTTAATGCATTTAAACCGTTGAATTGTGTGTTACATGAACAAATGTATTAATAGTAATACAACTTACTTTTAAGAAGGTCCTCTAGTGATTTTGAGAACTTCTTTCCACAAAAGGCAGACTATAAATCATTTGCATTATGTACAGAACCTCGCACAGTACGGTCCACAGTGCGGATACGTGACAGGCAGCATTATCAATAACATTTGGAATGTGGTCTTTTGAGTTTTGCCAGTTCAGTGGCAGTCATGATTGTTTCCAGCTGTTTAGCTGTATTTTCCTTACTCTGATCTTCCAGTTGGTGGATCTGGCTCTTCTTGTTCGGCAGGACACGGTCACCAAGGCGGGGGACCCTTTCAGCCACGCCATTTCTGCAACGTTCATTCAGTATCACAGCTCTGCCGAGGTAAGCATTCAGTAAAATCAGTCGTCTTTGATGCATCAGTGGATTTCCCCCCCAAAGTCTGGTGTTTACATTTATGTAAACAATTACTTTATGTTGCAATGTATGGTCTTCAGTCAAAGAATCTCAATACATTCGACTTTCAATGAATATTAATATGAATTCACTTAAGGCAGTGAGGTTTACCTGGCCCTGTCCTTCAGTGAACTCTCATGAAGGACTGCTCAGCCCCTTAGAAACAACAGTTGTCAGGTAGCTGAATTATGTTAGGAATCATAATTATTTCTTGGTGGCTCAAGACAGGAGCAGGTTGTCATTATTTAATGTGATAATAGTTGCTGTCCCTTTGTGGACACCCGTCTGTTTCCGTTACGGAACCGTCTCTGGACATGGTTTCGAGACCTCAGTTCCAGTTGTCTTCCGTTTGGGACTGGCTTTCTCATGGGATGATCACTTACCTTTCAGTGTGGCTTGTGCTGCTGAAATCTCTGCTGGTGGGGACGATAAAGTGTTCTTCCCACCATCCAGGCTTTGTATAGTGACTGCGGGGAGCCCTGGTGGCGCAGAGGTTAAGTGCTCAGCTGCTAGCCAGCAGGAAGATGTGGCCGTGTACTTCTGTAGGGCTGCTATGAATCAGAGTGGACTGGACAGCAATGGGTGTGGTTGCTTGTTTGTTTGTTTATAATAACTATGCTGCATCACAGTCTGCATTAAAAACAAACAAACAAAAGACTCTCTATAATCTAAAAGCCAGAAATGTAATATAACAGGTTGAATGGCTATAGTGATGTTTGACCATATTTACTAACAATAATGGTGATTTTGATATAATTCAATCTAATAACCACACAGAAAGCAACATGTACACCTATGAGGATAAATCCGGAGCTGCTGCTTCTAGGGGGTCAGTTAAAAACGAATGTAAGCATCTCTCTACCTGCGATCAGCGGATGGCCGCAGACAAGTTCCCTCAGCAATATGCCTGTTGTCATGTCCTTCAACCCGCTGCCATCAAGTTGATTTTGACTCATAGTGACCCTCTCTAGGGTGCCTGAGGCTGTAATCTTTACGGGAATAGATGGCCGCATCATTGCCCCACAGAGTCCCGGGAGGTTGACAGGGCTGCCCTTGAAGTGAGCAGGCCACAGCTCGCCGGTCAGCACCCCCAGAGCTTCTCCTAGTCTGGTTAGGGGTCTTTCCCCAAAGTGTCCAATCAAAACACTGCTTGCCCCAGGAACCTGAGGGACCCTTCAAGTCAAGGCTGAGAGGGCCAGCTAAGGATATTATGGAGATTATGTTAGGGAACTCTAAAGGAATAATCCGAATGAAGTTTTACAAGGGACACAGAATGATCACGGGGAGTTACTAAAAAGAAGTTGTCAAAGCTTCGTCCAGGAGAAATAAAGCCCATAAAGCCCAGGATTTTCCCTTGTTCATCCCATCCGTGCACCCACTCATTCTTCAAGGGTGGCCAGGACTGTCCCAAGAGAATTCTGTTAGGAACCTTTAACGCTATCCACTTTGCAGCCCTGCTAGCTGCCCCTTTGACATGTTTCTGTTCGCCAAACCCAAAGAACATCGAAAGGAAACACAAGCCAGCCTCTGGGGGTTGCCGGCACTGCCACGTCGCCTTGGTGCAAACGGAAGAGTGCCTGGTTCCCCTTCTCAGAGGTGCAGGGAGCTGGAGACAGCGCCTTCAGAGGCAGATGAACCTGAATGGAGGTTGTGTTGAAAAACAATAGCTTCACGTTTTGAAATGTGTGTTTAAAAGTTTTCTTTGATTTTGTAGTAATACTTTTTTACGTACCCACATATAATTGTAAAGTGAAATATACTGAACAAGCTCCTCTTGCCATCTGTATCTGAGCACAAATATCCACACCCTGATACTGTCTGTGAGGTGAGGGTGGTGGGGCACAGTCGTCTTTACAAAACTCATGTAATTGTTCCAGGTCACGTCCCTTTTTAGTGTCTTGAAATCTGTAAAACTTTACTTCAATGATACATGAGCAAGTTTTGCAAACGATTTCAGGGTGTACTGACATTCGCCAAAGCCCATGTATGATTCTAAGAAGTCTTTCAATCCTTTGAACCCAAGTACTTAGAAAATATATAAAGATATGCGCCGATAGAACACTGTATTATAAACGTCGAGTAGTCAGTTTTATGCCCCGTACACAATGGGCCACTGCCATCTTTGTATGCCCCCTACCCATTCACATTGGGCTGCTAACAGCAAGGTCAGCAGTTCAAAACAACTAACAGCTCTGTGGGAGAAAGATGAGGCTTTCTACTCCCAGAAGAGTTGCGATCTTGGAAACCCACTGGGCAGTTCATCCCGTCCTATAGGGTCACTGTGAGTCAGAATCGACTCCGTGGCAGTGAGTTTGTGGTGTGTGTGCGTGTGTTTGTGTGTGTGCGCGCGCGCAGAATCAGATTAGCTTGGAATTCACATAGGGATTAAAAAGGTTTCTGCCCTTTAACAATCTGTTTTCTTCTTAGAAAAGGTCAGACATCATTATCAGTCAACATACTTGAAAAGACCCTACAACCTGTCCCGTCGATTAAACAACATTTACTTTCTTTGTTACACACCCAGATTACAATGTCAGAGAGCACTCTTTAAAAGGTGTGTGATATGCGTTCATTTGATGAACGTGTGTGTCAGTATGCTTTTGATTAACATCAGACAAATTTATTGTAACATTTCTAATGGAAGAAATTGACAGTGAACATAAGAAGCCTGTTTCCTCTTAGTATTCAAGTGATTGCTTGCATGGTTCAGAAACCCCTTTGTCTTTTATCTTTTCCCCTTTCTTGGCTCTTCACGGTGGCTCCACTGCCCCGAGGAGCTGCTGAGCAACCTCAGCCTCCGTTCCCAGCTGCCCAGCCGTTGAGAAAAATGCCCTCTGAATCTGGCCTCCTGGGCGCGTTGGGTGGTGGGAGCCAGGAGCCCGGCGCTGGAGACTATTCTGACTAAATATGTTGGCAGGCCTCAGGCGGTCCCCTTGCCTGTAGAGTAACAGTCTCTTGGAGCTACCTTGCTTCTCAGGAACCAGTCATGTCAGATGAGTTTGATAGTATTTCTAAGCAAGCTTATCAAGGAAATATTCAAATCAATATCTGGACCTCAGCAAACCATTTCCAAAGTCTGGCATAATATTTTATTTCGTAAAGAATTGTGGACAAGCTATTAGTATGATTCAATGGTTGATAAGATGAGGAAAACATAGAAAAAGAATAACCCAAAACCAAACCCATTGTCATAAGAGCCCATTTCAAGTCATAGCAATGCTGTATGTAGGACAGGGTAGAGTTACCTCATGGGGTTTCCAAGGTGTCTTATATTGACTCTTACAGAAACAAAACCAGTGACGGACAGACAGATAAATGTAGAGAGAGATTATATATATTGTATATGGTATCATTATTTATATATATAATATATAATTTATATATATAATGGCTCACGCCATTGTAGAAGTGCACAAGTCCAGGCCAGTTCAAGCCTGTGCGGCAGACATTAACCTAGAGGGTTCTCCTGGCTCACTAAATGTGGGTGCTGGTGAACCAGGAAGCAGGAAGACCACTAGCTGGTGGGTGTCGAGGTGGATGAATCCAAGGTCAGAAGTTCAGACTTGTGGCTACAGTGCCCTGATCAATAAATATAAGATCAGCAGGTCAGATGGCAAGCTGCTCTTAGGGTGGGCGGGCAAGTATGGTGGACAGTTGACTTAAGGCCAAAGAACCAGCAGTCAGTCAGCCAGAGGTAGGAGCCAGAGCCCACAAGAAGCAAATAGGCTTCCCCACAGCGTCTTCTTACATAGGACTTGGGCCACATCCTTGAGGAGACATCTTTTCATTGCATCAGGTCTATGAGCTGAGAAGGGAGGTTGCACTTCACACCGATCCTCCCACAATTGCTTGGCTGCTCACAGCAGATCCCATCATGAAGTTGATTACGATATGTTAGGGACACATCATGAGGGATTACTAGGCCAAACCACTGAGACTCCTGGTCCTGCCAAGTTGACACAAAGCCTAACTATCCCAGCTGTAAGTCTTACTGATACATATAGCTACATCTTTCTCCCAGAAAGTGACTGGTGGATTTGAACTCCAGACCTTTTGGTTTGCAGCCTAGTGCTTAATTACTGTGTCACCAGGGTGCCTCAGATTCATGAAAGCATGTATGCTAAAAGACCTAAAAGGTTTGCCTATACATTTCTTAGGATCTCATGCTAGGATTCTTTTTATTATTAATCATTTTATTGGTGGCTCTTGCAGATCTTACAACAATCCATAATTCAGTTGTATCAAGCACCCTTGTACATATGTTGCCATCATCATTTCCAAAACATTTTCTTTCTACTTGAACCCTTGGTATCAGCTCCTCTTTTTTTCCCTTTCCTCTATGATTGGATTCATAAGGAAATTTTCTGTTTGTGTTAGTTTTTAAGCACCATCATATTGTTTAGATATTGACACGTCTAAAGGAGAGTGAGCAGGGGTGTGAAGTACTCTACAAACATGTGCGTGACCAGTGATGAAGGGAAATTGGAGTGTTTGGTATCAAGAAGAGAAGCGATTATGGAATTTGAAGTGCTGTCAGCTAGAAGAAACAGCAGACTTATTGTCATGCCCAAAGAGCACATCCTGGTGTGAGGGATTTGAGGAAGGAAGAAGCAAATGATTTGTAGGCTGAGCCAGCGGGAGGGAGGAGCATTCAGTAACCCAAGCTTTCGGTTTGAGCTACTAGGAGAATGCTGGTCACCATTGACATAACTGTTTTTAAAGGCACCCACCTTGGGGAGAGGGTGTCAAGCTCCCTTTTGAGAAATGGAAATTTCAGTGTCATTGAAAAAGAGGAAGACCCTAACAAGAAGGGATAGCACCCCGGGGCTGCAATAATGGGCTGAAACATATCAGTGTTTCTCTATGACAAAATACGTAGAATTTTTAGAAGCCATGTATCAGGAAGCCTCATTTCTGTCTACATGAGAAGATACTAAGTAGTTAACACACTTGGACTCTCCTGGGCAAATGGGGGCCATCGTTTTGGTAGGCCCAATGAGAATAAATTGTGTCCTTACTTTCGTAAGTGTCAGGTAAGAGTTCAGTTCATGAGACAGTGAACATTAGTCAAAGGCCTGGTCACTTGATTTCAAAGCCACATCTCTTTGGGCAGAGTTCCTATGTGAAGTCTAATCCAGATTCCCCCGAGAACACTCCTCCTGCCACCCCGACAGCTCCAAGTGGATCCCAGCACACAGGGAAAGCGATGTCCGGACCCCTGGGCAACGGGAGTGCTGGACAAGACTCCACAAAAAGCAAACAGAGGAAAAGGAAGAAGGTCAGTGGGGCCCTTTCCTCTGGGGGGACGGGGAGGCTCTCCAAGTAGATGACAGGGAGCTATGGGTGCTGTGTTTCCCACAGTTCAGGTTTTTTGAAGCAGCCAGTTTTCTTTCAGCCCTACGGACTTCTACTCAGACTGTTTAACGTCCTTCTTCTGAATGAAGCAAGATTGCTTCTTTTAATATTTTGTGAAACTTTCAAACATAATAGAAAAGTGAAAAGAATTCGAAGGTGAACCCTCTTCTCTAACATCTAGATTCTACAATAATGGCTTGACTGCCTTCTTTGTGATATGTCCATGTGCCTGCTCACCCCTGTGCCTTTGTTCCTCCGTTTGTTGGTTTCTTCTCGGTTTGGCTGGGTGGGAAGGGACACAGAAATACCACATAGACATCAGTTCCTTGCCTATCTTAGCACTCTATTTGTTTATGGTTCTTGCTTTTGAATATGTTGGAGATAAAATGTATACACAGTGGGCCATTTACGAACCCACTCAACAATATAAGTGAATAAATTGCTATGTGGATACAATGGAATACTATTAAGACTTAAAAAAGAATAAATTACATTTATTCTGGAAAACATGAAAGGGGGAAACACGGGCTATTTCCAGGAGCTGTAGAGGTGCAGTGGTTAAGGGTTTGCCTGCTAACTCTACGGGTGGAACCCACAGTCACTTCATAGGGCAAAAGCCATGCTTTTCTGTCCACCACACTGGGATGGCTCATGTATCACTGTGATGTCGGAAACTGTGCTACCAGTATTTCAAAGACCAGCAGGGTTACCCACTGTGAGTAGGTTTAAGCAGAGCTTCCAGAAGAAGAGAAACTAGAAGGAAGGCGGATGATCTACTTCTGAATACGGTGGACAGTGAAAACCAAATGAATAGCGAGCAGCTTAAGACTGTCTGATTCAGTGCTGGAACACGAGCCCCTGGGATTGAAAGACCCCAAAATATGCCTGAGCAGGACCTGCCTCCTCCAAGTGTAGACAACCTAAGATTGTGTTGAGGAGTCCCTGGAAGACACAAACAGATACGTTTTTGGTCACGACACAAACGGGTGGTGCTTCACACCCATCCAGAAGCTTCTCGGGAGACGGGCCTGGCAATAAGCTTCCAAAAAGGTAAAGCCTTGGAGTCTTAGGAAGCAACTGTGTGCCCACTGGGGGGGCTCCAGGAGTTAGAATCAGCTCTGCAGCACCCACCACACCACTATCACCATGGCTACTTAGCCACTGATGACTGGAACCTGCCTGGACAGCGAATATAATATAACCCAACATACATATTAAAATAAAAACAGAAGCCTCATCTCACTGTCATTCCTAAGTGGGGACACTCACCTTTCAGTTTCTACCGGTCTTTGACCACTCTCCAAGGGTTTCAGGCAGTGGTCGTTATGATATGTGTCGTTTACAGATTTATCTAGTAGAGGGTACTACAAAAGATGTTATTCACCATTATCAGAAGTGAAACATGCCAAGATAAAATGTTATAAATAACGGTAAGTAAATTTAAATTTCTGCCTTCATTTCTGGTTTCCCCTTTTCATTTACAAAATGGCAAGGCTCACTGATTCTATATTGAGAGGCAATTAAATTACAGTAAATACATATCGTAAAGTAGTTTTAAATAATGTTGTCCACCGTACCTCCAACTCTAATCCAGCAACTAAAACTAGGGCAAGAGAATGTCCCTCTGAGAGTTATATTAGGGACTTTCTGTACAGAGTATGTACAGAGCTGTGATTAACCTATTCATTATACATGAAGAAATCCTTTGGTTTTAGAAGTTATTGATTTTTTAAGTTATTTATACATTTCTCCTACTCCTATTAAGAACTAAGTTTGAGTTATTGTACAGCAAAGATTTTCGAAGTATTAGCCCCTTCTGTTGCTAAAGTTCCTCAAATTCCCAATGCATGGCATCGGACTGAAGAGTGGTCCACTTCAGATCCATCAGTTATTCCTCTATTGTATTCACCAAGCACCTTGTTGATGGGTATTGACAGAAAAGGATGATATTGATAGAAATGGAAAGATATTTGCAGAGATAAAAATTTCACTGGACATAAAACATTTTAGACTTAACTCTCTCCTGAAAAACTCGAGGGCAAATGAAGGGAATATGGAGAGGACACATGGTAGCTCCATTCATGCAACTGTGTCCTCATAGCAGTGCACCCTGAAATTGGCAACATTTATTATCCAATGGCATTTTTCACAAATTTGAATATTCCAGTTTTTATCTACATGTTTGCCAAGATACCATTCTTCAGCTAGGCTGGCTCACTGTGTCCATCTTTTACAAATCGCAGCACAGGGTCGTTTCCCACCTCCACCTCCCACTTCAGTGTGCCCGAGACCTATGTGAGTGTCACCCCGGAGGACCTCAGGGACTTTGACCGTAGCGGCATGTGCCGAAGCAAAATGTGTGCTGGAACGTAGAGGAAGAGAGGAAGCCCTATTGGACCTGGAGGGAAGGCGGGAGAACTAGGCCTGAGTTGCCGGGAGAAAGGAGTGCTTCGGGAGATGCCTCAGAGAAGCACACCGAAGGACCCACCTCGCACTGGCGGTCCAGGACACAGACCCCTTTAGGCTGTGTCTCTCCCTTCTGTGTCTCCTCTTCCGTTTCCATTGAAGACTTACCGAGTAGTTGGATACATGTCCCCCCATCGGATAGAAAGTACGGCCCACTTTACAAGCACCTGTTACACTGAGCAGGCGAATGAGGCCGCGTTCGTCACACGCATATGAGGGCGCAGAAGAGACTGTATCTTCATCCGGGGACCTGATCAGTGCATTTATTCTAATATATTCAGCCTGAACCAAGTTGAAATGAGACTCCTGGAAGTGCTCAAAGAAATGCTGGGCCCCTTTCTAGCAATGCCAGAGTGAGGGGTTGAAATAGCATCATCCTCGTTATTGTGGGCCCAGCAGATAGGTTATTTAGGGCATTGTTGGAATGAAATGGAGAAAGATATCCTAGAATAAAATGCTGGTCAGCTTATTCCCAGTCTTGTGAAAATAATCAAGGTCTTTTGTTTTTAAAACCACTTTTCAAGCTCGACTTGGGTCATGAATAGATATTCTTGTTTTTAGGAACTTTAAAGTCACTTTACTGGTTTGTGATAGGAAATGCAAGCACAAGGTGCAAAAGTTGACTAAATGAAAATATTAAAAAATATCTATTTTTAAAATAAGGAACGTAGGCTACAGTGAGAAGTACAGTCTCTAGCCTGTCCACTTACTTCCCTCCGAGAGAGAGAGAGAGAGAGAGAGAGAGAGAGAGGTGTTGATGACTGAAGAGGCAGCTACCTTTCTGTCTTTGGGAAAGGAGGTGAGGGTACAAGGGCAGCATGGCACCACTCATTGCTCATCTTGCTCTTCGTGTGAGGCATTTCATGTTACCAAGGGTTGTCAAAAGTGCTGCTACGATGGTTCCAGTGCTGCCATGTGCAGGGTTATTCCAAACAAGGTGTGTGTAAACTTGTCTCTGACCGGTGGATGGCTGCAGACAAGTGCTCTCAGGAATACACTGTTAGTGCCATTAGGATGCCTTCCGAAAACAAGGATATTTTTTGTGCCATTGGTGGTAGGGAACAATTTTGAGGACAGGGCCTACCAAATTTTTAACAAAACTCAAATGAGCATCTTTGCAAATCATTGAATCTTTGTGGCAAGTTGACAAGAGTACTGTTCCACATAAAACAAGGTTCTAGATGGATCGAGTGTCTTAAGGAAGATCAGAAAGCAAAATGTGTGCTGGAACGTAGAGGAAGAGAGGAAGCCCTATTGGACCTGGAGGGAAGGTGAGAGAACTAGGCCTGAGTTGCCGGGAGAAAGGAGTGCTTCGGGAGATGCACTCAAGGAAGGGAGGAAGAAGGCGTGGCTGCAGTGCGAAAACGGACGGAAGGAGACCACAGGGTTAGGTCAGTGTGGGGGCCGCTGAAGCTGGGGCCCTTTCCCTGGGGTCAGTGCAGCATTTTCACGTTTACAGGACCACCTTGGCCTCAGCATGCTTTGGGCTCTATGAGTGGCAAAGAGCTGATCTTTCCACCAATTTCTTCTTCAAGATCAAAGCTGATGCAGATGAGCTTATGGAATAAATTATAATTGATGACAAGTCTTGAATTTACCGATATTATCCAGAATAAACTTTGTCCAGACCAAACAGTGGTTTCTGAAGGGATCTGTTGGGCCAAGGTGGAGAAGTCAGGAGCTAGAGCCAAACACCTTGGAGTTATTATTTATAGTGGAGGGGGACCCTTTCGGCATTTATTGGCCAAGCTGAAAGAGCTTTGTAAAATTGCTTGAGCAGGGCAGAGGCCAAGGGACTTCATGACAGAGAAGCTGAGGACCAGAGAAAGGCATGTCTGTGCACACCTAGGGAGGCTGCCCTGACCATAGAAGAACTGTATCCCGAACCTTTCTGATCTAGAATTGTAACTTGTTAACTTCCCTAATAAGCTCCATAATCTCGAGTATGGTCTGTGTGTCCGTTGCATTGAAGGATCAAATCCCATAGAGAAGTGGCGGCTGTTGGGGGAGAGAGATTTAGGAAACCAGCCGGTGGAAGCATGTCTGACTCCACTTTGTGTTGAGGGTTGATTTTCCTTCCTGCTCGTCCAGTCAGAGGAGGTCGGACGTGACCTCGTGGTATTCTGAGGAAAGGCCTCTGTTACTTCACAACGATACATTTTGTCTTACACTCATGTAAGGAATACTATTTAAGCTGCCTCCTGTTTGTTTTTTTTAATGGCTTCTTTGATTCCTGTTTTATTAAATGGCAGCATCATCATTTACTCAGTCTGTCCCTCTTTGACCCCAATTTACCGCAGTGAATATTCTTGTATACAGAACATTTTACACCTGGGTTACACACCTACAGGATAAATTCCTAGAAGGGAAGTTGTTGGGTCAAAGAAGTTGTGTATTTTCATTTTGATGTGATGTTGCCAAATGTTTATCCATAGAAGTAAGACTACTTATATTCCTACGAGGAATTATGAGAGGAGTAATTGAATCAGTACCAGAAAAACATCCTGGTTCATGTGTCTGGTGAGTGATTTCTAGATCGCAATTGAGTAAGGCACAGCCAAAGTTTCTTTTTCCTGATAGTTTGAGGGTGATCACCTGTTGTCCGGTGCCCGACACAAAGGAAAGTAAGGTTGCTTCTCATTGTAAGGTTCTAGAGTCTAGAGCTTCTCTGGCTACCCTTCGTTTAAATAGTGACCTTATCTTACAGAACAGTGGCTCTCCACCTTCCTGTTGCCGCCACCCTTTCATACAGGTCCTCATGTGGTGCTGACCCATCAGCCATAAAGTTATTTTCGTTGCTACTTCATCACTGTCATTTTGCTATTATTGCTATGAGTCAGGCAACCCCTGTGAAAGTGTCGTTCGACTCCCAAAGGGGTCGCAGCCCACAGGTTGAGAACCACTGCTATAGAAGCTTCACTTCTGCCAGCTCATTTGATTTTTACCAAAAGCCAGGGAAACAATTATTCTCATTTTATTGATTAGAAAACTGAGCCACAGGCAACTTAGCACTAGAATTTGGTTCAAAAACCTAGGAGGTCTGGTGGCCCAATGATTAAACACTCAGCTACTAATCTAAAGGTTGGGGTTCAAACCCACCAGCAGGACTGTAAGAGCAAAGAGTAAAGGTAACAGCGTTGGGAACC